GCCGCCTCCCCCCTCCTCCCCGGCGTCCGCCCCGCGCTCCTCCGCGGCTCCCCGGCTGCTCCTGGCCCCCAACTCTCCAGAGACTCAGTGGAGAGTGACAGCCCTGCCCCGCCGCCCCAAACTGCCTTTTCTTGGGGTGTGTGTGGTGGGGGATGAAGGGACACGAAAAATAAAGCCAAGCGTTGACCTTCAGACGACACCCGGGACCCCAGGGGCCCAGCAGACCCCGCCGCTCCCTGGAGCCCCGCCCGGAGCCCGGAGCGCGCCCGGGGCAGGGGCCGGGCCGGGGACCCGCGTGGCCTCCCGGCTTTCGGGAAGCGTCTGTGAGAGGTGCCCGGGTGAAGCTGCGAGGTCTGGGGGAGGAAAGAGGCTTCGAGAACTGCGTGGAACAAGAGCCACCCCTCGTCCTCCACGGAGGCCTGTAGGAGTCGGCCCCGACCTGCCTTGCGGTCGCCAGGAGCCACGAGCTGCCCGCCCGCCCGAGCTGCCGGGGGCATTGCTCCCGCCACTCCCCGCCGCTCTGTTGAGATGAAGACCCGCCCGCCCCGCCCCCCCCCCGCCCCGTGGTGCGCGCCGGCCTCGGCCTCGAGGTCCCCGAACGCGCGAGGGGAGGGGAGGGGCGCGGGCCAGTCCTTCCACGCACGGCCCTGCGTCTGGAGACCCACACGCCGCCCGTGGAAGGCAGGAGGGCCGCCCTCTGGGACGGCGCCCCAGGCCCAGGCAGCCCAGGCCCGGGCCGGCTCCGGTACTGGGAAGACATCGCGCCCTGGGCGGGTGCCCCGCCGCCTTCGCGTAGCCACCCGCAAACCCGAGGAGCAGGAGCGAGCGCAAGCGCCATCTCCACAGGGTGGCTCAAACCTCCCTGTGGGCAGTGTGACCCGCGGCGATGGGCGGGAGGCGGAATTGGGGCACAAATGGGTCCCCCAGTGAGAGGGGTTGTAAGAACGGGAACTTTGCTCTGAGGGATGATGAGCAAATCCCTCTGAAACTCCGGGTTACTCAGCAAAGGGGAGACGCAGCCAGAGCCAGGGGAGACCTGCCCTCGCGAGGCCCCTCCTCCGGCCAAGGACGGAGGCTGCACACACCCACACCCTCTCCCCTCTAGAAAAAGCCAGTGGGCCCGCACCGGCGGCTCATGCCTGTGATCCCAGCTACCGAGGAGACTGAGAACCGAGTTCAAAGCCAGCCTGAGAAGGAAAATCTGTGAGCCTCCTATCTCCAATGAACCATCAAACACAAGCTGGAAGAGGAGGTGTGGTTCAAGTGGCAGAGCGCTGGCACTGAGCACAAAAACTCAGTGACAGCACCTAAGCCCTGAATTCAAGTCCTAGGACTAGCAGATAGACAGACAGACACACACACACACACACACACACACACACACACACACACACACAGAGTGAATAGAATCCAGCCTCCTCAATGCAGCCTGAACAACCACCCATCTCTTCCTAATCTGTGCAGGGCACTCCGCGCTGAGCCCAGCTTGCTCCTGGGTCACTCAGACAATGCACAGCGGCTCCCCGCTGCTGGCACCCACAAGAGGCTGTTACTGGTTCTGAACCTATGCTCATGAGCACAGGTGACACAGGCAGGGCTAACACCTCTGGAGGCCACCCTAGAACCAGCAGAGGGGGGCGTCTTCCCGCTGCGCAGCCACCAGCAGTGCCTAGCGGCCACTTACACCTCAATGCCCAGCAGTGAGGCTGGGGACAGTCCAATACTGGTGGTCATGAATGGCACTGCTGGCCTTGCTGCCTCCCCCGCCCCTTCTTCCCCACCCAGCCCAGATATCATTGCATGTTTGTGGTAAAAGGACACAGACTGGGCCCTGGTCTTCTGCCTTCTTAAAAGTAATGTAACAGGCTGGGAAGGTGGCTCAGTGGTAGAGCGCTTGCCTTGTATGCATGAGGCCCTGGGTTCGATTCCTCAGCACCACATAAGCAGAAAAGGACGGAAGTGGTGCTGTGGTTCAAGTGGTAGGGTGCTAGCCTTGAGCTGAAGAGCTGAGGGACAGCGCCCAGACCCAGAGTTCAGGCCCCATGACCAGAAAAAAAAAATAAT